ACACCCTAACATCAGTATGCATATTCTCCATACTGTTCTCTATACATTTCCTAAGGTGCTGACAAGGAGAATTTGTTTAACAATCAAGAGCTTCTTTAGTTGGTGATCATTTCCTTTATTCTTGTGACTTTAACGTTTCATTCGGGGGTTATTTTGTGAGGAGAAATTAGATGGCAGTCACTCTGCGGGGTCGAAGGGTAGAAACAAAGTAAAATATCACAAGAGGCCGGGGAGACCTCCAAATTTTAACCAGCAACATGCCTCAAACGCAGAAAAGCTCGAGTGACCAAGTCGTCTTGCATGTGATTAGTGAACGAAGTGACATGAGTTTACTAGACCCGTCACAGAACGAAGGAATACAATACTAAAGCAATTCCCGGTTACCTTCAACGCTCAATTGGACATAACTCCTACAGTTTTGTGCATAAAAGAAAGAAGCCTTTTAATGTTCTTTATCGTGTTTACAAACCTGTAATTGCGACTATTTCGTGGTGACTCTCTATTGTGCATCTCAGCTAACATGACTTCTTCTGTTGGAAAACAAACATGACTTTTGTTCACACCAGCTCTTTCTCACAAGGGACAGTCCGTTGGTGGACCACCTAATTCTTTAGTAAATGACCGAGATAAATTCAATGACAAGGGAAAGGACATGATTAAATCGGAACAATCAGCTTTTTGGACAAGTAAGGCATGCGCAATGCAGAAAAAGCACAGCGATTACTTGAAGAAGCTACAGGATATGTCCTAGTTCGCACATATTTTAGAATTTGGAAAGGTCATCATTGAAAATCCTTGTAAATCTTTTTATTCCTTTACTCTCCGTAAGTCCTCCCGGTTCACTTTCGTCGGTCTCTTTTGTGCTTTCCAACCTCCCCCAGCTATAGCTCTAGTCTCCTTCAAATTGAATTTACTCAAATTATCGCTACGTAACTGCCGTTAGGTCGGCACACACTAAAAGAAATGTTGCAGGGCATACATAAAGCAGGGACATGCTGCCAGGTCAATCTTCCTCGCTCTGTATTTACTAGCAAGCATATTATCCACCACCGTGCATACTATACGAAAATTCATTACCTGACAAGGGAATTCCGCGTTAAATTGTAAGCGAAAACCGATATCGCTCGAGTCGTAAAGCGATCAGTGCGATATCGGTTTTGGAAAAAAAAAACACATCAATAATTTTGTTTGTTTTTATCCAGAGCGCGAAACAAGAAAAGCGATACAATATCTCTTAGCCTCGTTTTCGACTCGCGATTCCGCACTACCTCCATTGGTTAACCAATCAGAATGCGAAGTTTTATTCATTTACGCGATTCTCATTAGAACACATCAGGAAACTTGCCACAGCTACACGTACGTCCCGGCACAATGTTCCCTAAAATTAACCAATTACAAATGAAAACTTACTTGGCCGAATTTCAAAACTTCGTCCTTGTGGTACACGAGGGGAATCCCTGACAGGGGCATGGTCGTGTTTGCGCATGGGTGTTCTCACTTGACTCTACGATAAACAATAATGAAGTGAGAAATATTTTGTGTGGGTGTGATGTTAGTCATATTCAATCACGTATGTGTTTATTGAGTTAAAAAAAGCTCATACTACTATAGCTCAAACCGATTTCTGTTGCATGAACGAAGACGAGTATTTCCTTCCCAACCTCTCCCGGTCGGCGGAGAGGGGACAATACTAGCGCTTCATAACTGTCCTTCTTACGTGTGGTTCCTAATAAGACCTACCTGCGCACTGCGCGGAGCTGAAGTTTGGTGCTTCCTGGTGTGATCCAACAAAGTCGCCCACGACATATTAGCCTTAGTAGGAGCAAAACGATCATCACGTTAGACGCACAACATGAAATGAACGCCATTACTGACCGCTAAAGCAGGATTGCCAAAGGGGTTGTTTGTTTATTACAGAGTGTTAGGTTAAATGGTCTAAACCATCGTCCCACCTGATGTATAAAGAAAATCGTTTGCGTCTCTTGCTGCGACGCGACCGCTTCTTTATCAGCGTTCGGGCTTGACCAGAACTCTGCGGGGTCCTGGTGCTTTCCTTCTGTTGACCAAAGAAAAACCCTTATATAAATATATAATAACAAAAGTTAAATTAACAATGAGAACAGTAATGTTAAAAAATATGAGAATGATGATAAGAACGATAATGATGATAACAACATCGCTAATGATGATGTTTGAAGATGATGTTGAGATGGTGATTACAATAATAATAATAATAATAATAATAATAATAATATCATAATTTGACGGGCAGTAAAGCTATGGAGAGCGGCGCTACACACCACTCTGAATACAAACAGGCTGTTCAAAATCATCACTGCATGCGAATTGGAACATTTCATTGAAAGTTTTCGAGAAATTTTTAGTTGTGAAGAACTTTTATTCATATATTCACGATTATATTTTTTGCAGACCTTTTATGTTAGAATTCCTGTTTAGCAGATAGGTGACGTAGTCACGTACTATCCTCAGATAGGTCACGTAGTCACGTACTATCCTTGTTATTCTATTTTATTTTGTAAAGAAGTAGAGAACAGTCAAACTATGGAGAACAATGCAAGATAAATTTCTCAGATTACAAAACAAACCTTTGATTACAACACGGTCCATCTTGACATTCGCCTGCAATGAAAACCAAGCGATTGTATGTTGAAAGAGTCGAAAACTCTAAATACTAGTTCAATAGGAACAGAAGTAAATAAAAGAAAGTAAAATCCTCTTACTCTTTTATGACCCTTCTGGGCTCTGAAAAATGTGTCTGACGAATCTTCGACCTGGAATGGATACAAAACAACAGTGCTCCAATTAAAATACAGAAGAAGTCAATATTTGCTACAAATTGACATTTGGTAAGGTGTCAAACGTGCAAAGATAACAAAATGAAAATGACTTCAGATGAAGCCTCAAAGTTCTTTACTTGTTGAAAGAAGTAAATCATGTTTGTTTCCCTTTTTTCTGCTTTGGATTTGAGCTCGGAAACGTACTTGCGGGCTCTGTAACCACGAAACGCTGAAAAGTAAATATAAACGATAAAATCAACATTTGTAACATCGACCGCCAGTGCAATTTCTGAAATTTCTGGTCATATTTACTAATTAAACGGAAAAAAAACCCGGAGCCCCTTTCACGTTTTTCGCTCACCTGACTGAATTCGAACCACTGCTCTAACCTTAGCCACTGTTGAAACAAAAGCAATTTGAAATGGTTGAAAATTTAAGATAAGCACGCGTTGGAAAGTGCATTGCTACAAATGCATTGAAGGTTAAGTCTACATACGACTGACTCGAATAACAGCTAGTGCTTATCGACGTAACCTGCATGTTTGTGAGAGTACCGCAACTACTTTTGGAGGAGACTCCAGCCCAACCCGCATTCCCCTTGAATTTCGTCAGATTTCCCTTGGCGTAACCAACCCTTTGACCCTTAAAGAGTGATTAACATCTAATTTCTCCTTACATTATCACCCCTGAATCACACAGTAAGGTCAGGAGAATAAAGCAAATAATCACTAGAAAGAAGTTGCTTTTGATTCCAAACAAATTCTCACTGTCTGCACCTTAGGAAATGTATAGAGAACAGTATGGAGAATATGCATACTGATGTTAGGGTATAAGGGGTTGATACTTGACCCTTGTTCATTTACACTCCCGGGTGGAGAAAGGCTCTGGACAGGAAAGGCTCTCTCGCAAGAACAAAACACACTACCCGACTTCGAACACAGGCCTTTCAATATTCAGTGGTTAGCGCGTTGGTCACAAGGGCGTAGTTTCTCACACAAATAGGGCCATTAAACGTCATGTCGTTCCCATCATCTCCTTACAAACACAATGCGGCCACTTAGAATAATTAAGAAAAAATAGTCTGACATAAAACAATGTAAAGCCTTACTATGTCGGAATTTGAGCACTTTCTGTTTCCTTCTAATGTTTGCGTAATTTTTTCTTAGCAGGCGCCCTCGATACACTGTAAAAGGAAGATGATATACAGTATTACAATAAAAAAGAATCGACTAAAATGTGGCTTCTAAGTCAAATTTTGGAGAGGTAGAGAGTACGTCTCTCCCCAGTCACCCACGACGACAAAAATATACAGTAACTATTTACCTGCTTGGATTTTGATGGCACTTTCGATTCTGAGTCGACGCAGGCGCAGATAGCATTTCCTCGCTAGATAGCCACGCACCACTGTGAAGAGGAATCAGAGAAAATCGTACCACATTTTTAGCTTAAATTAGTTTAATGCATCAAACCTCTGTCTACAATAGTCTTGCTAAAACTATTTTAAGTTAAAGTCAGTTTAGAGAAAAGCTGGTGATAAAGCACCAAGTCAAGTCACCTTATTTGGCAACCAAGGAAGCAATGACAATTTTTTTCAGACGTTACTGCACACGAACGAAGCGTGTAATAAATCGCTGTAACATCAGATGATTCCTTTTCTTACCCAGAGACACCTACTGTAAAGAAGTCGTTATGGGAGTTGCTTCTTTCTTCTGAACATGGTATGCGACCAAATTTCTCGTGTAGCAACTGACACAACATACAAGACTTTCAGCACCCTACACCACAATATTTTGACTCATATTTTGGTTGTGACTTTCAAAAGAAAGTTCAACTTGAAAAGTCCACAAAATATAGTTTAACTAGGAAAGAAAGAAAAAACACCAGGAGTAATAACCTAAGATGAAACAAGGACGACCAAAGATGGAAAAGATTAAAACGGATTGCGTTAGCGATTGACATTTCAAGTCTCCTTGCAAAAGAGAGATTTAGCAACGCGTTTACGTAAAACTGCAAACGTCAACTTGCCCTTTCACGTTTCACGTTTCACGTAAAATAGCATGCACCTTGCTGCTTTAGCTTGGCGTGAGCTGACGTCATGGTGTATTTGAAAGCGTCGCTGCATGACTTACAAGGAATAGTTTTGGTGCCCTTTTTCCAGCAATTAACTTCTACTCTGTGAGAGACAAGTTACTTTCACGGAGAAACGGCAGTGTAAGCGGAAAACGCGAAAAAATGGCGGGAAAAATAAGGTCACGTGGTCACTCTTACCTTACACGATTCTCGTAAACGCGGTGCTAAGTCTCTCTAATATCTTTAAATTATTTCGGGAAACGGTAATGAGAATCAAAAGAGCTATCAGCTAGGTGATGTTATGTTAGAAAAGAAGGTTATTTACAACCTGCTTGTATTTTGATGGCGCTTTTGACTTTTCTTCTCTGTTGAACATGGTACCACTTCAGCCACCAAGAGAATCTCCTTCGTTGAACCAGGCGACGATAAGCTACAAAGTGAGATTTGTATTGACAAGTCAGTCACGGAGTGTTGTTTAAAAAGTCAGCTTAATAGCGCAGCTTAGAGGACAGCACCAAAAGCAGTTTCCATTACTCTGCGACATGCTAACTTACATATAGCGTTTGGAAAACCACTAAATGTTCTTTTGTTTAAAGAAAAAAGATAGAATGAGAAGAATATCTCACAACATTCCGTTTTCACATCATTTCAAGGCTCACCTCTCTGGATGACGCAGGCTGCAAAGTGTTTCTTATTCACCTCCCGTTGATGATGTTTCCTGGCTAGGTAACCACGCGAATCTATCAGGGAGCAGCCCAAACAAACGATTTGTTGGTTTACTATAGACGGAACGGTTCTTTGTACTTTCTTTATTTTTATTTCCGACAGACGGTATTTTCTTCTGCGAACAACACATTCTGTAGGAAAATTCATAACCTGACAAGAGAATTCCGTGTTAAATTGCACGCGAAAACAGGATTTCAATGAATTTTCCTTGAATCGCATAATTGGATAAAAATAAGAATAAAGAAAACAGCAATAATATTGTTGGTTTTATCCCGAGCACGAAACAAGAGATGCGAAACAATATCACTTAGCCTTGTTTTCAACTCGCAATTCTTCAATAAATACCTCGCTTCGTTAACCAATCAGATTGCTAGATTTTATTCAGTTATGCGATTCTCTATTGAACCTTTCGTCCTTTTGCTAATCTAGAATAAAACAGTAAAAAAAGAGTCAAGAGAAGAGAGAAGTTAAGGAAAATTTTTGAGCTCTGAATGATTTCTGAGGGAATTTGCATGAGTACACGACAGCTTACAAGAGCTAAGCTGAGTTAACTGAAGTTTAAGGAAGCTAAAGGAAGCTGGCGAGGGTCTCAGATAATTCATACACATTCCGGCACGAGTCTACGACTCTGTGACAGTTCACAATTGTAGAGGAAGATTTGTGAAACTTCGACAAGGGTTCATACCCTCATTCTCGTTTTACCGACGTAGTTCAGTCCTTAAATTCACGTGCGTTCTCAACAAATTTGAATCTGCATTAAAATCTTGAATAGTTTTCATCCTTTCAGTTTTGGCGGACGAGCAAATAATGGCACATGAAGCCTGACCTGCTGATAACGGATGAAGGTTTGGACATACGGCTCTCTCACCTTTACTTTCCCAAAGCAAAGAAAAGACTTACATTTCTGAATGACCGTTGCTGCCTGATGTCTTCGCCGCCTAACTGACTCATATCGTCTTCGAACTAACCACCCTCTGGCGACTGCAAATGCGGAAAACAAAAGAAAACATATTATTAGGGACCTAAAGCAATCTGGACAAAAACTCCGCAAAGCTATACAAGCCTTTTCAAACTCAATCAAAAACTGCTCTATTGCGACGCGTTTTAAGAGCAAACACATTTGATAGCTGATGAACAAAAATGCAAGTAGCGAGAACATGACAAACTCTCCCATTAACATCCCAGCTTCAACAAGCAGTATTTTCAAGTCAATGCAAAACTAACCTCTCTGTATAGTAACAACCTTCCTCCTGTGTATTTCCAGAAGCTTGGCAAGCTCCTCTACATGATAATACTTAAGGAACACTTTAGTTCGCCCAATGAGCCAGTTTTGTAGTTTACTTTTTCTCAAGATCTCACTACAGGCCGCAGCATCGTAAGGTGCACTCTTGTGCAGTGGGTAGGCAATCACTCGGTATCTACAATAAAAAGGAAATTTTCGAATTAAGATCGTATAGCTTGAAAGCTCGGGTCTTGGTAGTCTTGACTAATAAGATTTGTTATTATATGGCTGTGTCTCACAAGGACTGGGAACTACCGAATTCACGAATTTGATTGGCTGAAATCAATATTGAAAGCGGTCTAGATTTTCCCATCTTGACCGGG